CCCTATCATCAAGAATGTGTCTACTCATGTATTTTATCCTCATTCCATTTTTCTTAGTTTTTTTTTAAGTTATAAAAAGTTTTGGTGAATAATATTTTTGAGAGTTAATTACCTTTATCATCCCTCGTTTCTATCTTTGTCCCTATCGTGGTGCATACCAGTAGGTGCCATAATTTTATTTATTTATTTATTTTACATGAATTGGCACATGCTCTACGAATAAATGGTTCAAAAGGTACAATCATAAACACATTACAGTGCAATGTGACATATGGCAATAAGTGGCATTAATATACTTATTAATTATTCAAAAGAAAAACATTGAACAAGTACCAAAGGTTATTTTATTAAAAAATATATAAATCTTACTTATTATTAAGTATTTTAAAATACTATTCACGACTTTTCTAATAATATAAAGTGTATAATATTTATTTTACAATTTTTAAAAGCTAAATAATATAATAAAAAATACTGTTATATAAACGAGTTTAAAAATTCTGTAAAAAAAAAAGAAGAAGAAGAAGAAGAAAGAGTTTAAAAATAGTTTTAAATAATTGAAATTTTCAATAGAAAAATTTAATATAAGTAAAGACGGACATTTAAGAAGGTGGGCTTCGACCCTTTTAATCTTTTTAAGTGTATTTATACATAAATTTGATTTTTTTTTTTTTAAAATGTAGTTAATTTATAAATTATAATATATATTTATGCATACTATCATGTGTTGGTTTATTAAATTCTTTAAATGCATATATTAGTGGTGGAGATATTAATTCAAAATAAAGTTTTTTTAAGTTTGAATATTATTGGTATCTTTGTAATATTTTTTGTTGATAAAAAAATTATATATATTTTAAACTTAATTCAAAACATTTATACCATTTATATAAAGAAAACACGTACATTTTTTAATAATTACTTTTGATTTCTACATTTAATTCAACCAATGTACCTTCAATACAATAATTAATTTTTATATTTTTTTATCTTTTGTAATTAGAGAAATTCTATGGTACCCACATTGTTTGAGAGGGTACCAGTATAGTTGTAATTATAATTTTATTTTATATTTTATATTTTTAATAATTTATTTAAATAATATTTATGATATTTTATTTTTTTAATTTTTAAATATATTCTAATTCTATTTGTAATAATATTATTATATATTTAAATAATTTAATTTTAATAATTTTTTAAGTATATTTTTGTCTTTTCACTTAAAATATTTGAATTTCTATATTTTAATTTGAATTATTTTTTAAATATATTTTTGTCTTTTTGTCTTAAATTTTTGAATTTCTATATTTTAATTTTAATAATTTTTATTTCTATTATTTATTAATTCTTTTCATTTTAAATATTTTATAACATTAATAAAATTTTATAATTTTAATCTCTCTAATTTTATCTTACTTTTTATTTTATAAATATAATTTGGATTATTCATTTTATAATTAAATTAAATTTTTTAAATTTTTTATGAGTTTACATTCTAAGAATGTATTGAAATTCCTCAATATTTGATTTTAATAATTTTTTATTTCTACTATTTATTAATTCTTTTCTTTTTTAATGTTTTATAACATTATTGAAATTTTATAATTTTAATCTCTATAATTTTATCTTACTTTTTATTGTATAAATATAATTTGGATTATTTATTTTATAATTAAATTAGTTTTTTATAGATTTTTTTATGAATTTACATAAAAAAATGTATTAAAACCCCTCAATCTTTGAGGTACTGTAGCAATTATCCATTTCCACGTAAGATTTGAAAACTTCCCATGTGTAAAATGAAAACATCCGTTATATACTTATCTATTTTATAAATGAAAACTTTCCATGTAGAAAAGAAAAAGAAAAAAAAAACTTTTCATTATTACTTACACAATTACCCCATCTCTCATCTTATTTTTTTATTTATAGTTTTTATATAACGGCAAGTTCATGCCTCATTTACTCTAGTATTTATATATACAAAATTATATTATTAAAAGAAGTTTCTGGTTTTTTTTTAATCTATGGGATCTGAGCACATATATACTCTAGTATGTATATATACTAAATTATATTATTAAGGAGAATTTATAACATTTACACATTTTACTCGATCAACTGAACTAGATTTCCTTGATAAGAAGTCTCTAGTTTAACATTTGACTTTATTATTAAAAAAAATTATTCAATAATAAGATATTATTAGAAAAAAAATATATATTATCAAATAGGTTAAAGTTTGTTTAATTTTAGGTCATTACTTTACTTTCGTGTTCTCTCCATGTCGCGCACATTTTAGGTCATTTTTAGGTCAATACAGGAGATAAAAATTCCATGCTTTTAATGAAAATTATTTTACTTCGATCGACCATCTTTCATACATGTTAGTGGCCTAGTAAAAACAATGCCAAAATGGAATTAGAAAAAAACAATAAAGTAAGATAGGAAAGATCGATGCATGAAGTTGGAGAAAGCAATGTCTTTTAAGTTTAACTAACCCTTATGCTACAAAAAATGTTTGTTTCATGTTATTCTTTTTATGCTTTCTTTATATAGCTTCTTATGTTTGTTTTGTTTCCATGGAAAGGTAAGAAATAAATACTAGAAATAAACAGAAGATAGAATTAAAAGATTTTACTTGTTTGATATAAAGAGGAAAGAAATTTATTTTGCGAAGATCTTACTATTAAAAAATTGTCTCCATGTAATGACTTTGCATGGGAAATAATGGAGAGGCACTGAAAGAAATTTAATTTTCATTTTCCTCTCTGTTAAAAATAAAATAAATTGATTACATGGACAAAAAAAAAAAAACTAAATGTGATTTCTTTCTTTCTTTTTATTTTCTCTACTGTGTTTATATACAAATGTGTTTATTTTTATTTTTGTTTATCTAAACAATATATTTTTATTTTATTTTATTTTATGTTTCCCCCTATATTTTTCATTCTCATTTCTCTCATCCTATAAGAGTAACGAAACCACAGGAAATATTTTTTATGAAATAAATTCTTACTATTTCTTTATAATCATGAGAAAAAGGAAAAGAAAAGTTTGCAATAAGATGAATGATATAATAGAAAGAGATTAATTAAAATAATGTGTGATAAATGGTTATAAAAGGACAAAATTTATATTTAGTTCTACATGTTGTTTTTCAATAAAAATCGCATACGTCACCATCCGTGTTATCATTTAATGGAAACTGCGGACTACGAAGGTGAAACTTTAATTATGATACCTGAAATTGTATCTAAATTTTGTGCATAAAATAATTATTGTATAAAAAATAATAATAAGTAAAAACATATGAAATAATCAAGTTTTCATGTTTTTTGCATAACTGATTGATCTTTGTAAAGTTCATTTATAAATTAGTTATTTAAATAAGATTGTTTTAAAATTATTTACGTCTTTCAGATTATTTATTATGATATCATTATGAGTTATAGTAATTTATATGCTATGATTTTTTTATAAATAAAATTAGTAGTTCTAGTTTAATCATATTAAACTAATGTCACTATCAACTGTAACAATCTATCAAATAATTCCAAAAACTTTTTTTTATTAATTTTGATCACTATGATTTATAACTACTTTAATTTTTTTTTTTTTGGGTTACTATAACCCATAACTACTTGAAGTAAATATTATTATGATTTTATGAAAAAAATTAAAAAAATTTTTTTTAGTATGCGTTTCCCAGTTGAAAAAAAATATATACATGTTTAGAGTTTAGGTTTGAAAAATATACATGTCTAAATTTTTTTAAAAAAAATACTCTTTATTAAAAAAGCATTTTTAAAAAAGATCTTTTTAATTTTCTAATACTTTGACCATAATTGTTTTTAAAAGGAATTAAAGTCACCATGTTTCATAACAACATCGCCACATAAACTTGACTATTGAATAAACATTATCACTTGTAAATCGTCTTAAAATCTTCTTTTATCATGAGTAATTTCGTAATGCACTCTTTTAATAGTTATGCTATTTCTTTCACTGTGGTATACTTTTTTAATTTATTGAAGTTCACAACGGACAAGTGTCGCTGCATATGGTAGGTTGCTGCAAATGGTAGGTTGCAAACAAATAAAAAGCTCCACAGTGATGTCAAAGTAACCATAGTAGAAAAGTTTGAGAACTAGTTTATTAATTTATAATTTATATTGCTACAAACAATTTATATATAAAAAATTTATTTATAAAATATTAATATTTGTTAGATTAATTTTTACAAATGAAATTTATTTATATTTTTATATTGTATAATTTAAAAAAAAAAATACTCTTAACTATTTTTTAAAATAAATTTTTATATTTTATGTTAGTGGTCTTGGAATTTTTTGTTGTTGTAAAGTTTCTATATTGGTTGTATAATCATAAATTATACGTTAAAAAATAAAATAAAATGTATTTTTAAGAAAATTAAAAAGATATTTTAATTAGGGTCAGTATGGATTATAATGACTACTTTAAAAACTAAAAAAAAAAATTAACTAGGGTCACTATAATGATCCCAATTAAAATTTTAAAAACTTAAAATGGTTAATATGTTAAAAAATAAAACAAATTATAAGTTTAGAAAAATTTATACAAATATTTTAAATGAGATTGTTGTAGTCCATAGTGATCCTAATTAAAATTCAAAAAAAAAATTCTACTTTTTCTGGCCTATAAAATTTAAAAAATAAATTTTTATTGGGATCGTTGTGGACAAAAAAGAAATTGTCACCTTATATCACTACTATTAATAATAACTTGAATTAGATCATTATCGACCGAAACAACTTTTATTTCATGATTCTTATAACTAAAAAAAAATGTCACATGTCATATGAACTATTATGATGCATATCACTCTAAAAAATAACTTCAAAACTTCAAAAATATAAATAATTTCAAAACAGTCACATTTAAATAATTAATATGTAAAACAATCCTTCAATAATGAATTTGCACCATTCCATTTCACCCACTATAAATATTCTCTTCTATCTCCCTCTTCACGGCAAAAGCCATTCTCCACCTTTTGACTCTCTCATCTTAACATATCATTTATTTTCTTGTTACATTTCAATTGTCATAAACATTAGACTCAAAAAATGGCTCCCTCCTTGGTGCTTCCAAGGCTTGCAAATTGGGTCATGAAACAGGTGCTTGTTAAATCATGTCATGGAGTTGCAACGAAAATGAAAAGCTATGGATTTCATTGGGGCGATCTTTCACCTAAACCATTGCAACAACCTTTCCCTGATATTGCCACGTGTGGTTTGGAGGGTAGAGGCTCACACACACTTGTTTGTGACTTCCACAAAGCCCTCTTAAGGACCCCTTCCTTCTTTCCCTCCTTCATTCTGGTTGCCTTTGAAGGTGGAAGCATTTTTAGGGCACTTGTCTTGCTTTGTTCATGCCCTATACTGTGGATTTTGAGCTATGAAATGAAGCTTAGGGTCATGATCTTAATCTCCTTTTGTGGACTCAGAATGAAGGACATGGAAAACACTGCAAGGGCAGTTTTGCCAAAGTTTTATTTGGAGAACCTCAACCTTGAGGCCTATGAGGTAGTGGATTCTGTAGGGTCTAGGGTTTTCTTCACCACTATGCCTAGAGTGATGGTGGAAGGGTTTCTCAAGGAGTATTTGAATGCTGATGCTGTTGTAGCCACAGAGTTGCACACTGCTGGATGTTACTTCACTGGTTTTCTCTCTAATTCTGGTTTGCTTGTCAAGCATAAAGCCCTAATGGATTATTTTGGAGATTCAAAGCCTGACCTTGGGATTATTGCTAACTCAAGTCTTCATGATCATCTTTTTCTGTCTCTTTGCAAGGTATGTCTGAGGCTAGAAGCTATATATATATATATGTTAATCTTAGTATTCAATATTAGCTATCTTGTTTAGCTTCCATATTATTCTGAACATAGAAAATGATTTCACACTTTCACATAATTGATGATTGGTTAAATGTCAAATTACTTGAAACAAATCAAGAGGAGAGAGAAAATTTGACACTACATGTAAAGAGTAGTGAAGAATGCATGAATGTAAAACTGTGAGGGTATAAAAGAATAGAAAATATTTTGTGAACACAGAAACGAGACTCAAGGTATATTTTTAAGATGCATGTATCCAAATGGTAAAAGATAAAAATAATTTATAGGATATCGAATGAAGGTCCAATTTTTCTCAAGTTCAAATATATTATATGGCATAAATTATGAAGTCTGGTATTGTTTAACCTTTGTGTTAGTGTTCTTGACTTTTGGTAACCGCCTAAGAACCAGGGAACATGTCAGCAGACAAAATAGGAAATTGAAACCATTTGAATATTATATATATAAAATAAATAAAAAATCCAAGCAATCGTTACAATAAAATCTGTGTTAATCCACAGTTGTACGTTGTTGTTTAACCTACCAGTATATTTATTTTAGTTGGTAAAATATAATGTATATTTTAATCTCATTTATTTAGTTTGCTACGTGTCCAGACTTCTTTAATTCAATTTATGTACATTGTAACAACTAAGCCAGTCTAGTAGTGGTAGGAATCGGGGTAAATTTATAAACATTTGGGTTGTTATTTTCGTTGCTAATAAACAACATTATGTAATTATGATGCCTGACTCTAATTGCATGATAATGACAGGAAGCTTATGTGATGAGCAATGCAGAGGGAAAAGTGATGCCAAGGAACAAATATCCAAAGCCTTTAATATTTCACGATGGAAGACTAGCATTTCTACCTACTCCATCAGCCACCCTCTTTATGTTCATGTGGCTTCCAATTGGATTTCTGTTGGCCATTTATAGAATTTTTCTGGGTGTTTTCCTGTGTTGCAGATTCACACAACCACTAGGAGCATGGAGTGGTGTAGGTCTGAATTTCAAGGACAACAACCCCCAAAGATCAGAGTCAAACAAAGGGGTACTGTATGTATGCACCCATAGGACTCTCTTGGATCCAATTTTTCTGAGCATATTCTTGGGAAGGCCTTTGACTGCTGTCACATACAGCCTGAGCAAGGTGTCTGAGATGATAGCCCCTATTAGGACCATAAGTCTCACAAGGGACAGAAAACAAGATGGGGAAACTATGAGGAGGCTGCTGAGTGAAGGGGACTTGGTGGTGTTCCCTGAAGGGACAACTTGTAGGGAGCCCTATCTTTTAAGGTTCAGTTCCTTGTTTGCTGAGCTGGCTGATGAGATTGTGCCTGTGGCTATGAATGCAAAAGTGACCATGTTCTATGGGACCACAGCAAGTGGACTAAAAGTCTTGGACCCTATTTTCTTCTTCATGAACCCTTGGCCTAGGTATGATATTGAGATACTTGAAAAGGTTCCTAAGGAACTCACATGTGCTAGTGGAAGGTCTAGTCATGAGGTGGCAAATTATATACAGAGAGAGCTGGCTGATGCATTGGGATTTGAGTGCACCAACCTCACAAGGAGGGATAAGTATATGATGCTGGCTGGGAATGAAGGGGTTGTTCAAGAAAAGAAGGGGAGGAGATTGTGTTAGCTAGTGGCTGGAGTTTGCCCTTAATTGATCATTTGATTTCATCATGTTTTAATTTGGACAATTGTTGCTATAATTAACTAAAGCATCACTTCTTTTATATATTTTTTCCCGTAAAATGTCAAATTGCTTCATATGTAGAGAGAGTCAAAGATTTTCTATATGAAGTTTGTGTTATTCATTTGAAATTTCACGGTTTTAATTTGGAGAAATGTTTTTTATCATTACTTTTTATATATATTTTTTAATCAAAATGTCCAATCACTTCATACATAAAAAAAAAAAAGAGTAAAAGAGATTTTCAATGTGTAAAATAATAGTGAAAAAAAGTGATGTGAAATAATCAATATTATGCTATTTATTGAGTGTTAAGTTTATATATATCAAATCTAGTTATCTCTAAGAGTAAATCTTGGTAATTTTATTACATTTAATAACTCATCTTTTGCATGAAATTTGACGATTGAATCCTTAAATTAAAAGTTCTTATGGTATAGATTTAATTTGCATATTTTTAAAAAAATTTGAAAACTATTTAATATTTTGTTTTATTAATTCAAATTGATAAATAATTATTAAAATTATTTTTTATACGTTGATTTGAATTTATATTGTAATGATCTGACAGGTCTCACACAATCTATAGTGTCAATGGATAGTGTATAGTTAACACCGCCCATACCATACAAATTTATGCATAAAATAAAACATCTTGATCATACAATTATATATATAATGAGATGCACAACTAAATCCCATATAATATATATATATATATATATATATATATATATATATATATACACTCACAACTGAGTGACAAATATAATATCCTATACAAAACAACTAGGCATCCGATCACAATATGAACAACAAAATATCAACTCCTTGGCTGAGTCTCAATCAAAAGCCTGCCTTCCTAACACTATCAAGCATCTACCCCTGATCTATTCGCATACCAAAGTATAGTCATTACAGTTCCAACCACAAGGAAAACAATCAAGGTAAGCTCACAACAATAATCATCATAAAACAACATCATCATATAATAAGCAACAATAAAGTACAACGTGTCAATTTTCAACTTATCTTGAAATGCAACAAATACATCAACATATATGATACCATATGCAATATCAACTAATGTGTCGTCATGCATATACAACTACGAGATCTCTAACAATTGAAGTTGAGTAATTATTAGGTGGCATAAACCCTACCGAATCCAACTTTAGACTTATCTCAGTCGGGTCAGGTATAGGACAATGTTAGGAACTCTGAAGAGAACCAGGTATAGACAACAATAGTTGATTGTTCAGTTGTGCCACTTAGACTCAGAGGTTCAGTACTACTATCAAGACAGAAGGATTTGGGTATAAGTCTACCATGGCCTTGGCTTACATCACCAATCCACATGTGAAGTTAGTCCATCCACTACCGTCCAAGTACCACGTAACCTCCAGTACCCAGTCAAAGACTGCATCTCTAACTATATACCTTACTTATTTGGTCATTCAACCATAACATGGATCGACTACTTCCATGTTGTCCACATAGTACTAAGGGATTCAACTTTAAAAGTAACTTTCAACTTATCACCTTAGTACTATGTATCTCAATATAGGACATATATCTTCACCGTATGTCCCCAACTTTACATCTTTACAACAATAGACATCTTATTCAACTTTACAGCAATAGGCATCACATTACAACTTCAATAAACAACTTTAGCAGCTATAGTCAGCTTTCATGCAACTTAACAACTTTTAAACAATTTACAACTTTAAATCAACTTTCATAAGAAACTTTAACAACTTTACAGCATAAACAACTTATATATCTCTACATCACCATAACATCATTAAAAATAAACAACTTAATCAACAAAATCAACTCCTTTTCCAGCATACAACTTGTGCCTAGCACGACCAAGCCCACGCCCAGCACCAGAGAAACAGGGTGTTCTGTGGTGCTCACGCGCCCAATGCAGCTCCTCTTGTGCCTGACGCCCTAAAGTCAGAGGCTTTCCTAGGAGTCTTGCGCCTGGTGCACCACAACCAATGCCCAGCGTCTGCAAGTCAAAGACTTACCATCTAAATTGTGCTCACAATTAAGTTATATCCTCTATAACTTAAGTCTATGGTTATCTCAACATTAACTCACACCTCAACATAGGCAAAACAACATAAACATCATTAAAAATCACAGTAAACTACATATATCACAAATATACATAATTATGTGGGAAAAAACATGGTATAAAAACTTCCCCAACAACAAAAATTTTCATCCCCGAAAAATTCACTTTCTTGAGAAGAGGTATGGGTAATTATATTTAATCTTTTCCCTTAGCTACCACTATTAGTCCTTAAGTTTATTAGCCTATGTGTCACATAAGCAGATAACATGTCACATATCAATCAACAAATGGAGATAAATAGATGATAAACAAGATGACAAAATATGCAAAAGTTTAAAATTAAGTAGCAAAATGTACAATTTTAAAAATTAGGTGGCAAAATTTTGTAAAATCTTATAACTTATATCCTATGTCTTTTAGTTTATAAATTTATTGGTCTTCCAATTAATGTATGGTTTCACTTTGCCTGTAAATCTATTGACTTGTTTTAAAAGGGTCAAAAATTTCCTACAATTAAAAAGGCAACTACATAATTTTGTGGTTATCATTTTGTAAAGAGTTAGAATTTTTTGAAATTTTATTTTATTTTATTATATAATATTTTCTCCCTGCCAACAAGTGTTGGTTTGAGTGGTACTAAATTAAATCTCTTAAGGCAAAGTCTCAAGTTTGAATTTTGTAAATGAAAAAAATGTGGTTAAGAGTGGAAACTCCACTAAAGGTGAGTGATCGAGTTCCCAAACAAATAACATAACATAAAAAATATAATATATTCCATCTCTCAAAGTTTTAGTCTTTTAAGATTAATACACAACTTGATTAATTTGCCAAAATAAAAATTAACTTATAGGACTTCTTGAGGCATGTAATACATTGTTTTGTAGGACTTATCCGCAGAATCAATGCTAGACAAAACTAGTAAGTTTTTAACCTATAAAAAAATAACAGAGAAAAGAGTAGTGTTCTGATGGCTTCCTCCTTCCATGATGGATGTAGAGTGTGAAGGGGGAAGACCTTGCCCTTGATCTAGGCTCACAAAAGGGTAGACAAAAGGTGACTTATGATGGGAAAAGGAAGATGGACGTGAAGTAGGTTTAGGGTGGCGGAAATGTTTAGGTGAATGGTGTTTGGTTGCTCAAGGTTGGCTCACTCCAAGTATAGGTGGAGGCCACTCTAGGGTTTCACTCTCCAAGGGTGGAGAATGAAGGAGGCTAGCCGAAGTTAACCTAGTGACTAAGGAAGAGATGTTGAGGCATAAAAGCTCACTCAATATCATATAATCCAAAGTATTTACAAGGTGTGGTGCATTGGGTATTTATAGGAGGGGAGGCATCTAGGGTTGCATTTGGAGTAGGCAAATGCATTCCAAATGAAATGCAAATGAACCCTAGATGCAACTTGGTGGCCAAGGATGGAATCTTTGGGTTTAGATTAGCTATATCTAGGTGCATGATAAGATCATGCAACCTTTGCCCTCCACTTAGGCCTAAGTCTTTCTAACACCAAAAATAGACCCAATAACACCAAAAACATGCGTCACCCTCTAATTAACACCCTAGCCCAAAATTAAAAACCTAATTATCTAGAGCACCCCATAATACAAGGGTAAAATGGGAAATACAAGGGAAAATAAATTCTAAGTCCTAAACACCCCAAAATACAATGGTAAAATTGGAAATACAAGTAAAATAAATTCTATGACTAAAATACCCCAAAATACAAGGGTAAAATAGGAAATTAAAGACAAGGGCAAAATAGGAATAAAAATAAATGCTATAAAAACTTAGGAGCTAAGCCGAAAAATAGGCTTACTCCTCCTATGATTTTTTTAACACTAACCCATTCATTTTGCTTCCTTCAATACATCACCTCTTGGACTTCTTGGCCTTAGTGTTATTCCATCATGTTCAATACCTCATACTAATTCTAAGTATTTATATAAGGGAGATACTAATCATGGTGGCTATAATTAATCATAAAAATTAAAATTAATTAATTTTTAAAATATTTGATAATTAATTAATTAAAACTACAATTGGATTACTATATCTTATTAAAACTAATTTTAATTATTAGGTTTTAAAACCTGTAATTAACAAAATAATTGTTTTGAATTTAAATTTAATTTAAAATAATTTCACAAATTAATTAACCTTTTGAATCTCAAAATATACAACAAAACTACATAACTTGGGCTCATTTTTTTTCTTAAATTTTTTTTAGCTTTTTAAAATTCAAATATTTTCTATTAATTATAAAATAAATTTATTAACATTTAATAAATTGAATTACATCGATTAAACACATAATTTTTCAATAAAAATTTGAAATATCATTAAAAAAATGCATATAATAGTGAAATTATTGTTATTTTTAACTTTTTTAAAATATAATTGTATATTCAAATTCAAGTTTAGAATTGATTTATGAGACAATTTATTATAATTAATTTCTTAAATACATATAATAATAAAATGATATTTTTATCTTCATGTGAGTGATAATAAAGAATAAAAAGAAACTAAAATAATATATATATATTAAATAATAATAAATAATATATATATATATATATATTTATTTATTGTGTGTGTGTGGAGGGGAGGGGGAGTGGGAGTGTAGGTGGTAGTTTCCATACTTTTTTCTCACTCCTTTGAATGGTAATAAGGTCTTTATACAATTTGTTTTGGTGATTTGAACCTCTTTTAAATATACAATATGTTACATGTTTGTTTTTAATAATTATTAATGTCAATTATAATGCTTTTATGTCATAATTAACACATTCAATTCTATTAACCCGCAAAATATGTTATATGTTCACATTATTTATCTATATTTCATATATGATATGATATGACGAATTCATTTTGTCTCATTTTTTTTCCTTTTTTTCTTCTCCTATATTGATTTAATGACATTAGGAAATTGCTACAGAGCATTTTTAGAGTTTTCTTAATTTTCACTCTTTTTTAGTTCTTTGTCACATCTTCATTTTCCTTTCAACTTTTTTCTTCTACTACATTTCTTCAATGACATCAGATAATTGCTACAAAACCTCTACAAACTTTTATTCACCCATACTCCCTTTTAGATTCATCTTATTTATCACTTTTTTTTAGGAGACCTTATTTATCACTTATTCATTCACTTATTATTATTTTTCTTCATTATTCATATTCACAATCTATTAGCATATTTTTAATAACTTTTATGCATTTTATTTTACTTTTTTTTTTCTATCTTCTCTATAATTTCTGTCATTAGAAATTTCACTACAAGAAATGATATTTTTAACTGAGGTTATTTAACTGGGGTTACTATAACTCCTGGAAATGTTAACACTTACGGGGGTTTTAATAACCCTAGTTAAATTATAGGGGTTTGATTTCAAACCCCGGGAAAGTGCCAAGTGTTTTTTAGAAACCCCGGGTAATATTATTTTAATTAATTAAAATATTATTTTTATAATTTCCCTCCAATTGTTTCGTTTCCCTCTTTCTAATAAAGACAAGTTTTTATTTTTCTTTTTCCTTTTGAGAAGCACAAAATAAAAAAACAATTAAATAAAAAACAAATCTGAAAACACGAACTTATATTGTGAAACGTGAAAATAAATTGAAACATTTTAGAGTGGGAAGCATTTTAAACACAAAAACAAACCCTAACGTCTTGAACCTCTCCTTATTGAGGCGCTGCTTGGTTTCATTGAGAGAAGTCATCTTCTTGTCCTTTCAAAAGTAATGCCCATTGTCTGGATTTGATCTTCGGTGAGTTTTCGTTTTTCTATTTTGCAAAGTTTTTTTTTCATGTTTTGTTGAATACTGTTTTGCAATAATTTGACACTTATAGAGTCACGATCTTCTCCCTTTCCTAACCCTATTTCCTTCAATCGTGACGCACAAAGGAAATTTCCTCCACCGCCCTCACATTGGCGCCGCCCAGCATCAGGTCTTGCAACGCTGCCGCAGCCTGGAGAAGATCATGCCCGAGAAGCAGACCCGCGTCGGTCAGGGCACCCGTTTCAAGGCCTTTGTTGTTGTCGGCGACAACAACAGCCATGTCGGCCTTGGCGTCAAGTGTAGCAAGGAGGTCACCACCGCCATTCGCGGCGCTGTCATCCTCGCTAAGCTCTTCATCATCCCCGTCAAGAGAGCCCCACACCGTTCCCAACACCGCTGCGCGTCATCGCCGTTGCGCGTCGCCGGCGCTGCGTGTTGCCGTCGCTATGCACCGCGGCGCAGTTCTTCTGGGCACCAACGCCGATTCATAAAACATAAGAGGAATGGAAGCTCCTTCTCTCTCCTGATCAGTTTCAGATCCTTTGCCAGAAAATGACTGCGTTTAAGGTCTCAATCTCATTATTTCATCATTTTTCATATGCAGCTTGCAAGGCTAGAGGCGCCGACTTTAGGGTTCATTTCAAGGTGTTGCTTTTAAGGTGTTGCTTGCAATCTCAGTCTGGAAGAAACGCATCTTGGCGTGCTTGCAATCTCAGTCTGAAGATCTGATGGAAGCACTCATGAATAAGGGAGTTCATTTGTCTCCTACAACGTGAGTGGAAGACTTTATTTTTTGCAAATTTTTAGTTTATGATATTTACTGTTTACCCATATGTGACTAATATGTTTAAAATATTTGTTTACTGACGACGATATAGATTTGAAGTGGGAGACTGGGTGAAGTTTAGAAGATCTATCACAACTTCAACACATGGATGGCAAGGTGCTAAACCAAAGAGTGTTGGTTTTGTGCAAAGTGTTCCAGATAGAGACAATCTCATTGTTTCATTTTGTTCTGGAGAGGTTCATGTTCTGGCAAATGAAGTTATAAAAGTCATTCCATTAGACAGGGGACAACATGTTCAACTGAAAGAAGATGTAGAAGAGCCTAGGTAACAATTTTTCTTTTGTATGTAATGGATTTATGTTATGTCTAATGTTGGGGAGTTTCTTTGATCTTTGCTAATAGCAATTCTTTTGGTTTATCACATCTTCTTTTGACAAGAACATTGGTTAAACTAAAAACTCCTCCAAATAATACTCTCTCTCTCTCACACACATAAGCATATCAGGTGAGAACTTGTATTTATTGTGAAAAATTTATTCTCTGCACCTTAATTGTATGCAGTACATTTAACTGTCAAACATGATGCATATAGCATGGTTATAAGTATTTGAATTTATATTTTGATTGAAAGTACTCAATATGCATGTTGAATATAGTTTTGCTTCAAGGGTAATAAAAGCAAATATTTATTATTGAAATGTCAGTAACATTTTATAAATATAATAATGTTTGCTGTCATTCAGGTTGATACCTCCGGTTGGTTGCAGAGGACAAAACAGGATAAAGGAGCAGCATCCTTGAGCATTATGCAATCAAGGAAGAGTCTACTCTGGGCTCATATAATTGCTTTGGTACTAGATGCGGAAGAGGTATATATGTTTCATGCATCTTATGTTTTGGACAAGGCCAAACAACTATGATATAATTCAGGCAATTTTTTTAGCTCGTTAAATTGCAATTTCATGAAGTCTACTGTTCCAATTTCGTTCACATTTTTCTATTTATAAACACAAATTTAAACCTATTAAAATATAATTGCTCTAGTAATTCATTTGTTGGTTGGAAATGTTGAATTTGGTGCTTAGTTTTTGCTGTTTTGGTTTGAAATAATTTTCATTGATGATTCCTTAGAGTATGTGTAATGTGTTTGTTCTAATGTGAGCAACATGTGTCCCATTTCATCCCCTTCTGATTTGTGTACCCCTCAATTAGGATGGACTTAGTGCATGAATGACTGTGAAGTATGTGTATGTGTGCAGAATATCCTCTTTTATAAGCATGACCAATCCGAAATATTTTTTCTCCTATCTCCCGTTCTAAATGCTAATTAGTAATTACATTTTGAATTGATTAGATTTTTTTGTTGAAAAAATCTGTATTGACCAGATTTTAAATGCAAGACGAAGTATGAAACATGCTGAAGTAGTTATAGCTAGCCAACAGGTGTTTTCAGACCAGCTGCAATAGATTTGGCTGCAACAAATGTTTTTAACCAGCAGATACAGATTTTTTTTACCAGCAGGTGCAGGTTTTGGATTTTAATGTTCCATGTTAAGATTATATGATTAAATTTTAATTTTAATCTAAGGAATATACAACGTTTTATGCTTCAATATCTAATATTGTATATTTTGTGTTCCTAATTATGATTTATGTTTATATTGTAGGTTTCTGATCAAGGAAGTGTGCCAACATATGAAACAAATTCTCAACGTGAAATGGGGTGTGGGTGATAGCTTAAAAGCACATTAATTAATTTGTAGTTGATTTGTGCTTCATTTTTTGAAGATAAAAACTGTGTGCTAGTTTATTTTGAGTAATTTGTAGTCTATTTCTTCTTTTAGGAGTGACTTCATGAGAATACTCCTTTATTACTATTATGCTACATTATGTTAATTTTAAGCTTCAGTACCTTATGCTAGAAATATAAATTTAGTTTATATTTATAACTTGTAAATTCATTTCTTGATTTTATTTACAAGCTTAATTGATAAAAATAAGATCTTCTAAAAACTAGTATTATATATATATATATATATATGTATGTATATATACACAACAAATAAAAATAATAATTTATGAAAATAATAGTGGTTTAAAAACTTATTGATGTACACAATTAAGAAATAAATGTTAAAATAAAAATAACAATGATGAGGTTAAATAACCCCTTCTAAAAATATTTTATAGTAATTAATCCTCAACAATTAATAGGAGTTAAAAATTGTAGACAAGTGCAGCACCATATTAGTTTTTTAAAATTTTTTTAGTATTATTAATCTTTATTATTTCATAGAAACTTCATCTAATTGTCAAAAGTTTACAAACTGCGAGGAATTAACCGGGGTTCTAGAACCTCAGACAATCATTTGGGGTTTTTAAAACTTCTGGTAATGAACTGGGGTTTTAAAATCTTTGGTAATTAATTGGGGTTTTAAAACCTCTGGTAATTAACTGGGGCTTTAAAACCGTTGGTAATTTACTGGGGTTTTAAAACCCCCGGAAAAATGTGCATTTACCCAAGGTTCGTTAAAACCGCTGGTAACACGTTACCGACGGACAATTTGGCTGCGGAAAATGTAACCGCGGGTAACGTCATTAACGGAAGTTTTAACCTCAGGTAAATTTAAAATTAACCCCTACTAAATTCAATTTTTTTTGTAGTGTTTGGGCGAACTTCATCCAAATAAATTGAACAAATAATTATTTGAATTTTATCATAAGAAAGGTCTTAAATAAAATAATTATAAATTATGAATTTTTCAAATGTATATTTTTTTTCTACACCTATTTTTATATATTTCTTTTTTTTTTTATTTAGTTTCAATATTATTTTTCACATAACTATCCATAAAAAATTATCAGAGGTATAAGGAAAAAAAATAAGTAGTTTAATGATCAATATAATATCTATTTGAAAAATCATTAAAAATATATATTTTTTATTTGCATATACATATTTATAAAAATTTTATTTATGCAAATACACTATTAAATTGTAAATTAAAAAAGTATTCAACATCAAAATTCTTTAATTAGGTATTGAATTTAGAGAATAAATAAGCACTCTTAACAATTTTAAATTTTATTATAGATTTATTGAGGGAAAGTATTTATCATTTTATTTTATTGAAATGACTCCATTTAATTTTGTTTTCTTTTATATGTGTGTGCGCATGGGTTTTTTTTTTCTTTCAAATGAGAAATGAAAGGAATATTTTATATTCAATAAATTAATGTTTGGTAGTTTTATTAAAATAGTGTTACAACAAATATGAAAGGTTAAATTGTCTTTAAAAATTTAATTTGATAGATATTACATTTGAGAATATTTATTATTGTAATTTGAGTTTAATAAATTAAACATTTTATTCTTTCAATGATATTTTTGAAAAAAAAAAATATAGAAACAATTTTTATTTTAACATTATAAACAAGAAAATAAAATACCTAAGAATCAATTAATTTTTTAAATTATTGTGTCTTTTGAATATATATTATTCAATTAAAAAATATATTAGATTAAGGGGGTGTATTGGTTTAGGATTTCATAGGATTTTAAAAGACTTTTTTTGAGTAAAAAAGTCTATTGGTATTCAATCAAGATTTTATGTCACTTAAAAACAATCCAGTGGTATTCAATCTGGATTTTTAAGATTTTTTAAAGAGTCCATTAAGATCCATTGGTATTTATTTGAGATTTTTTACAACTTAAAAATAATCTATTGGTATTCAAAAATATAAGGATTTTAAAGGATTGTTGTGTGAGAGGGATTTTGAAGGACTTTCTAGTGTTATCTATAAATACCAAATTCATAAAACAATCTCATCTAAACCCATCAGATTTTGAAGGATTGTTTGAAGTGACTTTTCAAGTGTTTCAAGAATTTTCAAGTGAGTTTTTCATCTTTTTTTTTTCTATACTCCTGTCTTCTCCATTTTTTCTCTGCTAATAATACCGCACTATTGTTCATTGCTCATATATAATATTGTAGTATTGTTCCCATTTCATTCTCCTATTTTGTGAAACTCTGATATGTAAATGATAGTGTCATTGACTTGCTCTATTTTTCTGTTCATTCTCTTTAATTGACTTGCTTTATTTTATTCTATGCAGTTGAATTTGTTCCTTTATATAACACAAAAAAATACTTGAAATTTCAACTTTTAAGTGGTAATTTTTTTATAACGCACGTCAGGAAAAGGAAAAGGTGAAAGATGAAATTGATATCATAATCTCTACAATATATATATATATATAAGATGAATTTGAGTTAGGATTTCTGTGAGTAGAATGAGATGAAAATAAATCTTAGTTGCGGAAAAACCCTTTCAGCATAAAAATTGCGATCTCTCTCCTTACCTTGAGTTTGTTATTCTTATCCCTCCTCCTTTTATGAATCAACAATTATTTTATTTTTTTTTACTATGAATTTTTTTTATATTGTGAAATTAGGTTTTTTTTTTTATATTTTAAAAAAAGAAAATTAACATAATTGCAGTATATAATTTTTTAAGGTTTAGAATTTATGCCTTCATTAACTTATTTTTAAAAAAAGGAAATATTGTTAAAATATTTGTTAGAATAATTTACATTTATAAATGTAACGACCCGGCTGGTCACTACACACAACACAGTACACCTGAAAACCGGACAGAAAGGAGCAAGTGTATACATATAGTGTCTAGAATATACATATATACATGGTCCAAGTCTGACTAGATTCAAAATGTACAAAAATACAACCAAAGCTACTACACCAAGTAGCTGAAACAACAAAACATCAACAAGGATCAGCTCCGCCTGCCAGCTGCAAACTCACCACTAGTCACCACTTATCCCTGCTCTGCTCTCATACATAGCATGATCATCGCAGTCTAAACCACATGGAAACAACAAAGGGTAAGCTAGTGAAAAGAATCAGCATATAAACGTATACATGAAAATGAACAACTACAACTTATCAGCACAACATCAATATACACTTCATCAACTATACAACGTAAACAGCAATAAGCACACAATGCGTCGTCACGCATATCATCTCGGAGATCTCCTACAACAACTCAGCCTTACGGCCTACAACAACTCAGACTTACGGCCTACAACAGTTTATATCAGCATCCAACACAGCATATCTTACAGCATGCAGCAACAACAGCTTACAGCACGGCACAGCTCATCAATATACATCTGATACGGCTTAACTCAGCAATAAACATCTAGTACAGCTTAACACCACAATTCTACATCCTCAACTATAATCAACACAGCATATCATCTTACGGCACATCTAAACGTCTTACAGCAATATACTTCTAACACAGCTCAACATCATCAAACAGCATTTTCTACTAATCATCACATCATATTCATCAACTTCGGCTTATACTCAACATAAAACAACTTCTAACAGCATTTAGTGGAATCTCACCTCCGCGCCCGGCGCACTCGTGGTTGCACCCAGCGCGGTACAACCAGAGAGCACCAGGGGCTAGCGCGCCCAACGCAAGCATGCCCGCGTCCGGCGGGACCCAGCCAGAGAGCCCAAGGCTCACACGCGCCTGGCGCAATACCAATTGCGCCCAGCGCATGCTAGGCAGAGACTCCATGGAGTCTCACGCGCCCAACGTGCTTAAACTCGCGCCCAGCGTGGGGAAGGCAGAGACCTCCCTTGGTTTCGCGCCCAGCGCAATTCAAATTGCGCCCAGGCAGAGACTCCCAAGGAGTCTCACGCCCAGCGCGACAAGGATCGCGCTCAACGCAGAATCAAAAAGCTCAAAACAGGTTACAACTGGTATCGCGTCTAGCGCGGTCCAAGTCACGCCCAGCGCGGACTAGCCAGAGACCCACATTCCCAAGCGCGCCTGGCGCACCCATCATTGCGCCTGGCGGGCTTGCCTAAATAGAGTTCCCTGGTAGCCACGCGCCCGGCGCAAAGAACTGCGCTCAGCACGAAGCTCAGCAGCAACTCCGCAAGTTCGAAAATTTCACCCAACCCTGCAAAACAACCAGAAATCCAACATGAAAACCAACCAAAAACCCACATTTTCATCAAGCATTACGAAAAACACTTCATTTTCAACATGCAACCATCAAACAAGTAAAATCCCAAATTTATCTCATAACCGCAACAACCCCAAAAACTCCATTTCAGCAATCTCAACCAAGAATCATTCAACAACAACCAGCTAATGAGTTTCTGAGACTCATTCTCAACCAAACATGACAACCAAAACTAGCTTCCCTTACCTCGATGGAGAATCCGACAACCAAAACTAGCTTCCCTTACCTCGGTGGAGAATCCGAGCTCCAGGAAGAAACCAAAGAGAAAACGAGGTGAGCTTGAACGAACGAGAAAGAAGAAGGGAGAAATCCAACACCAGCTAGCAACCCAATTCACTCAGCTCCACCACCTTGTAGCAGCCAAAAGAAAGATCCAAGGGAGAAGAGTGAAAAATTTGAGAGTGAGACGAGAGTGGGTAAAGAGAAATGAAAGTTAGAGTGAATTAGTGGGTGAGGGTGAAAATGGGAAAAAGAAAGGTGGGGGTCTCACAACCTCCCCAACAACAAGAGTTTTCGTCCCCGAAAACAGACTTACTTGGGAAAAGAAAAGGGTACTGCTCCCTGCACTGCTGCTCCACCTCCCAAGTAGCCTCACCAGTAGCTGCATCCCACAACACTTTCACCAGAGCAATGGACTTGCCCCTCAGCTCCTTCAGCTTATGAGTTTATATAAAAAAAATTATATATCTAAATATTTTCTCAGTATCGATTATACTAATTTTTTTTATATAAAAAATTATCTTATGTTTCTATATTTCTATTTTTACATGTTTTTTATAATGACTGAGGTATTTGATCCATTTGAATAGCTAATATATATTCAATCTTATATGATTAGTGTGCTTCTAAAAATAATAATATAATTTTATTGATTTTGTCTTTTATCCATAATTATTTATATAACTAGTTTTCAACATATATTGTTTTAGTAATTCAAATGGGAGACTCACAAGGAAATAATAAAGGAAAATGAAAAGAGAAAGAAAACTATGAAGCGGTAGATGAACCTTCATTTTCAACGTTACCGGTTAATGAAGATCATACTTTTCAGCCTATTATTCAAATCCAGGAGCAAGAGCGAGAAGACGTTAATGCTTGGAGGACTAGTATAGCTATGAATATGTGGGTGAATGCTATTTAAGAGGATATGATATTATGGAGAATTATTATTATTATTATTTATCTAGATATTTTTTTTATTATTTTTGTCTTTGACTCTTTAAATTTGAATGTATGAAATTTTTTTTGAAATCTTATCAAATGTCAAAAATCCACGAAAATTCTACAAAATCTCACAGAATCCATTAAAATCCTGATTTTAAGTCTTGTAAAATCTTGCAAAATCTTAAAAGTCATGAAAATCTTGCAAAGTCTTTTAAAATCCGCAGGATTTTTTTTAACTAAAAAAGTCCTTTAAAATTCTAATCCAATACACCCCCTAGATTTTATTTAACTTTTTTAGCATAAAAAAATCTTGTAAATTTTAAAAGACATTATAAAAGTTTGATGACTTTTAAGATTTTTTCAAAAGACTTTGTAAGAATGTATTTTTAATATATGTTTAAAAACTTTATATTTTAATATTAAATTTTATTAAAAATGAATATTTGTTAAATTTTAATAATTTAAAAATTTTAACAATATATAATTTTCAAAAATAATTTTAAATATTTAATAATTAACAACAAATATTAATAAATTATACATAAATATTGATAAATCAGACTCAGGTATTTATAACTTTTCGTCCTGCCTATTGCATTTTTTTTCAAAAAAAATATATATATATATAAAGTTAAAACTTTAATTTTAATTAATATTAAAATAAAAATTAATTATTTTAATAATTAA